TTTTTTTTTTTTTTTTTTTTTTTGAGAAGTCTTTCTCTGTTGCCCAGGCTGGAGTACAATGGCATGATCTTGGCTCACTGCAGCCTCTGCCTCCCGGGTTCAAGCAATTTTCCTGCCTCAGCCTCCTGAGTAGCTGGAACTACAGGCATGCGACACCACGCCCAGCTAATTTTTGGTATTTTTAGTAGAGATGGGATCTCGCCCTGCTGGCCAGGCTGGTCACAAACTGCTGACCTCAGGTGATCTGCCCGCCTCAGGCTCCCAAAGTGCTGGGGTTACAGGCATGAGCCACCACGCCCAGCCAGGAAACGCTTTTAAAGTGAGAATCTTTACTTTCCCACCAGCTTTCAGAAAGCTCTAAACTACGCACGCCAGGGGAGGGAGTGCAGGGGGCTCACGGGGCGGGTGCAGGTGGCCCTTCGTCCCCCTGAGGACATCAACTTGGACTTTCTTCCCCCCAGGATATACCTCTCTCCCCCAGCCACACCGTGGTCCGCAGAGTTCTAGACCCACAGCCTCCTGCTGGCCAGGGGAAGCCCCCGTCCATCTGTCTGTCTGGCCTAAGGACCAGGGGCCAGCGGTGGGCGGCAGGGCGGAGTGCCTGCTCAGCGCTGCTCGCTGGGCCGGGTTTGTACCCGGTGTCTTCCACGGTTGAGAGAATGATCAGTACACGATCCATCCCTTAAACAGCTGAGATACAAAAAAAAAGGAAAAGTTCTGGAGCTGGAGGTGGTGATGGCCGCACAGCAGGGGTGCGCCTGGCACCGTGGAACCGTGCGCTTAGAACCGGGCAAAGTGAGATGTTTGATACACAAGCAGACAGGAAAAGCGGCTCATGCTTGTAACCCCAGCGCTCTGGGAGGCCGAGGCGGGTGGGTCATTTGCGGTCTAGAGTTTGAGGCTTGACTGGTCAACATGGTGAGGCCCCGTCTCTACTAAAAATACAAAAGTTAGCTGGGCGTGGTGGTGTGCGCCTGTAGTCCCAGCTACTCGGGAGGCTGAGGCAGGAGCATTGCTTGAGCCTGGGAGGCGGAGGTTGCCATGAGCCGAGATCGCGCCACTGCACTCCAGCCTGGTGATAGAGCGAGACCCTGCCTCAAAACTAAAACAAAAGACGGAACTGGCCAATGTCATGCCAGAGGGAACCACTGTCCCCTTCACCTGTGGCCGGAGAGCAGTGCAGGCGGCTGGCTTTGGAGCTGCGTCTCAGCTGCCGCCAGAAATGGCACGCGCGTCCTTCGCTGGAGATGGGCGGCCCAACCGTCTTTCCCTCCGCCCTGGGAGGCTGCGAAACCGACCCTCATTTACTGTCCTTCTGCTGGCTGGTGGGTGTTGAGGCATTTTCCGGTTTTCCTAATTCACCGCACCCTTGAGCATCGCAGGCTTCACTCCAGCCGCAAGGTGGATTCCTGGAAGATCCTGAGAGGAGAGAGGCCAGGTTTCCTCGGGGCTCTGGCGCGGCCTGCCACCCTGCCCGCCGGAAGCGTCTGTGTCTGAGCAACTCCCCCCGTTTGGCCCGTTCCCAACACCCTGGCTGGCACCTCCTGTTATCAGGCTTTCGAATCTGTGCCGGGGGAAGGATGAGGACAGTCTCTCGTTTCTGTGTCTTGATTGACGACGTGACCGTCCTGCTACTTACCAGAGGTTTCCGTGTTTTCTGCACGTGAACTGCTTTTGCCTCTTCCTCGTCAATTGGGGTTTCACGGGGGTCTGGGAAGCTGGATTGTGCAGATGAGCATGGAGGCAAAACAGCCCTGAGTTGTCCTGAGTGTGCGGGAGCTGCTGGCCCCAGGCGTGCCCTCCGGGTGGCTGTGGACAGTGGCTGGTGTGGCCTGGAGAGGAGGTGTCCAGAGCTGGTGGACATGGGCAGATCTGAGGATGTCCCAGGCTTCCCCATCCTGGGACGGACAGCTGGACTAATCATCTAAATTAACCATTATGCCCCCTTGACTCAGTTTCCCCATCGGCAACACGGGGACACAAAGGTTGCCCCATCCACTGGAGGTCTGGGCTCACACAGTGAAGGGGAGGGGACAGGTTGGTGTCACACGGGGAGACGTCAGCCGGGGAAGGTGGAGCGTTCTCGAGCCGGAGGGAGGACATGGCTGCAGGACACCCGGTGTGCCCCACGCCAGGGAACTGTGCGCCCAGACAAGGCCCAGGAGATACATTTTATGTTACGTGTATTTTACCACAATTTGTTTTTTAAAGGCTGGGCGATGCCTCACGCCTGTCATCCCAGCACTTTGGGAGGCTGAGGCGGGCGGACTGCTTGGAGACCAGCCTCTGGCCAACATGGTGAAACCCCGTCTCTACCAAAAATGCAAAAACTAGCCAGGTGTGGCTGCACACGCCTATGGTCCCCACTCGTCGGGAGCCTGAGGCGAGAGCAGCCCAGGAGGCGGGGGCTGGAGCCAGCCGAGATTGCGACAGTGCGCTCCAGCCTGGGCACCCGAGCAAGACCGTTGAAACAGTAACGGTAAGAAACCCCAGCGGTCTGGCTTTGAGAGAAGGCCCCCGCTTTGAATGTCTGCTCTGTGGCCCGGGGCAGTTACTCAGAGTCATCTGTACAGAGCGGGGAGCCCTCTCCTCAGGACTGCTGGGGGATCAAATGCTGGGGAGCACTAGTCTGAGTGGGGAGGGGAGCAGAGCTGGGAGCCCCGGTCAGCGCCGGCACAGCCTTGCCCGGGCCATGCAGCCCTGCTGGGGTTCAGGGTGAGCTCAGGCCTCTGGCTCCATCCTCCCGGGCTGCCCTGGGGTGGGCAGGTGTCCCATCTCGGGAGTGCCCAGAGCTTCCTGGCAGTGCAGCAGGGCAGAGGCTTGGGGTGCTCAGAGCTGGCTAGACACTTGGGGTGCCACTTGGACGTCCCCGGTCCCAACCATGACAGGTTGCTTGGCCGAGATCACCTCACGTTTGCAGGTGCCCGAGGGCAGCCCCAGTGGGCTGGGCCCTACCAGAGTGGGGGCTGCTGGGGTGGGGGCTCAGGTGGTTGGGACCCTGGCTCCGCTCCTGCTCCCGGGTGTGACCTCAGGGGAGCCCCGAGCTCCCCGAAGCCTGTTTCTGGGGAAAGGGAACCCGGCCCGGTTTCGTAGGGAGGGGCTGAGATGGGGCTCGGGCTTGGCTTTTTTCTGGAAGCGGCTTGCAGAGGTCCTTGGGGAGGTCTCCACTGGCACCAAAGCCTTCTCCCTGTGTGACCCTGCCTTGAGGGGCCGGTGACCTTCCCGGGGCGTGTGGGGACCCGTCTCCTCTGCAGGGGCGCCGAGGCTGTCTCCCTGGCGTGGGTCCCTCGTGGCGGCGGTGACAGCCAGTCCCAGTGCCTTCCTGGCTGAGTCCCCCGGCGGGTGGATGAGGGCAGGGCGGTCCCCGGGCCGTGGGCGTGGGAGCGGGCACCGTCTGGCGGGCCCGGCGTCTGCATTCCAGGGGCTCCGGGATTTCCCGCTGCTGGGGGGCGCAGGCGGGGCCGCGGCCCGGGTGGGCGAGCCTCTGGGGCTCCGTTCGCCCCGGGGGTCCCTCCCTGGTCTCCTGCCCTGGGCCGCGGCTTCCTCCACACCCCGCCCCGGGCCTTCCCGCCGAGCCGTGGCCGTGGGACCCGCGTTCACGGGGGGACGCTCGTTCTCGGGGGGACCCGCGTTGATGGGGGGACCCGCGTTCTCGGGGGGACCCGTGTTCTCGGGGGGACCCGTGTTCTCGCGGGACCCGT